AAGCCAAGCCCCTTGGAATCAGTCCTACCCTTTGTGCACGGTCTTAACAGTGGGGATCATCAACACATCTCATGTCATTAGGGATTTTGTCCTGAAGCGCTTCTATTCAAACCATGCGTACAATACTGCACACATTCCAGCTACTTATTTTGTTGTTCCTTGCACACAATGAACTCAGTATGCTTCAAGCAGTTTCGAATGAGCAATAACAGTAAAATTAATAGTAATACAACATGAGAGACATGACAATGAGGAAGTGTAAAGCAAGGTGAACAACGGCAGTATCTGACACCGACATGGTCCGCAATAACAAAGATTTACTCCCCAAACATGTTGACTCGAGCAACAACTTGAGGGTTCTGTGGTGCTGATGAGCTGGTATTGGAGGCATCACACATGGCATAATGGAGGCTATATTCAGTGTGAGTTTCTCTGCTTTGATCGAAGGTGAGGGTACATACCATTTTCTATTGTCTAACTGTGTCAACCTGTCAGCACAAAATATTAGTATTGCTACTTCAGAGGTCCACATCAGCACTGACTCACTTGCAGGAGGGCATTTCCATTCGGTATTGCTGGGGAGAGGTGGCTGAAAATGGATGAGCAGCCTTATATGCCTGCCACCTGTCAAGAAACAACTTACTAGCAACCTCGACAAAATCTTCAGCTCCATTCATGTCACCAGTCCTGGATAGGGCTCCCTCATGTGTCTAATTTTGATGTCAGTATTGAATAGTCTCATTTAGAGTTCGACATTGCTGAAATTGCCCTCAACAATGAACAGACAGACCATCTCCTTGACATATGCCACCACTGTGCACGGCAGTCAGAGAAATTCACTTTCAATAACCACAAGGATGTTTATGCTAAGTGGGATGCAGCTTCTCAGCACCTAACGGGGGTTGTTCTTCCCTTTGCTGAATGATTTTCATTTGACTAATATTTGAGTTTAGTTTACAAAAGACATGATTTCAATACCCTTCACTGATCAATCGTGGAACTTTGATGTCTATTATCATGATCTTTGAGAGTGGGCTACTGACCTGCTCTGTGATCCTCATTTGTTTCCTTATTTTCATTTTGATGCCCAGCACTTGTCAAAGTTCAATGGCCAGTCTTTCGAACAATTCATAGATGAACCCTTTACTGCTCAAGAATTCTGGGATGCTCAAGTACGTACCATTCATGTATATTGTATAGTGATTTTGATTGCATTTTAATGTAATCCATAGTTGCAGCTACTACATGGTGCTAAGCCCCTCACCTTCATATTGTATGCTGACAAGACAAAACTATCTAGTTTTGGTACTGTGAAAGGCTACCCCATTGTTGTGTGATTAGCAAACTTACCCACCCACATTCGTAACAGTCAAGAAATGGGTGGTGGTTACATTATTGGGTGGCTTCCTGTGGTATGATACATATGACATGTATGTCACCTCATACTTATTTTATTCATATAGGTCAAGGAAGGCAAATAACATGCCAGCAAGCCAGCATGGGCTAACTTCAAGGCTACAGTATAGCACAAGTCCTTCGAAAGAATACTATCTTTGCTAGCTGCCAAATCAAAAACTGGTCAATGTTCGGAGTGTTTAGATGTCATTCAGCGCTAGTTTTTTCCTTTAATACTCATTTTATCTTCAGATTTCGAGGAACAGTGAGCTTCGAACTTTTGGATGGACATTTCGCTAATTTACCATGTTTCAAGGTCAACAATGTCACTGACTCGTGGTGTCAGGGCCCTGTGGCTATGCCCAATCTGTCTCGTCCCCCATGATCAACTTTCTGATATTTCACACTGTTATCCATGTCGCACATCTTGTGACTTGCAGGCTATCCTAGCAGCTGCACGAGAAATGGAGACCACAGAAAAGAGGGAGGAGGCACTAAAAGAATATGAACTTCATGATGTCTCAGTGAGCTCATCTTCACTCTCCTACTACATTGTCTTAATGTTGTCTTAGAATTCATTTTGGACAGTGTCCTCTACAGATGTACATTGTGTGTTGTCTTGGGACAAATTACACTTTCACTCTGGTGGTCTATTATCCAATCACTTATGGGTTGAGCTTCAGAAGTATATTGGTGGTCTTGGATGAGAGAGGGTATCTCAAGTAGACAAGCAGTAAGTTCTTTTTCTCTAATGATTTATTTTGACTTGAATTGACATGGATTAACACAGCTATCAAGCATTTCCCCACTGGCGAGACCAGAAACATCTGAACCAGGTCATGAATATTTCATTTACAGACAACTCCACATGTGAAGATATTTCGAAGGTCTGTTGTTTAATTTTTTTTGCACTACCTCGAGTCTAACAAATTACTACTAGATGATAATATATGCAACCCACAATATATTGACATAGGCAGACTGTCCTCTTGTTACTTGCTCCTTTGTTGTGTACGACTTTACCTTGAACTTGATATGTACACCTCACTCAAAGTTCACATGATGGAGACTATTAGTAGTGGCCGACATACACACTGAGCATTTTCAGCTTTTTTGCAGGTATGTCTCATATGCTATTTACTGCTATCAATACACGACTAATTGCTATTAGCAATATATTAACAAAACAGTCGAGAGTGACAAGAACTGGAATTTTCTGAAGTTACACATGAACTTACATATCTTTGATGATGTCGAGGCAAAAGGAGTGACATGAAATTACAATACCAAGCCAAACAAGAAAATACATGGCTTGTTAAACAACTCTTATTTGCTGTGCATGAACTTTCATAATGTAGCAGAACAGGTACATTTTGATTTTAAGAAAACTATCTACTGTAACTAATAGCATGATTCAGCTTTGACAGATCCTCTTTATTAATATGTGGCAGGTGGTTGCAGATCGTATACACTGCCACTTATTTGAATTCGACAATCATCAACACCAATTAGAGGAAGAAGACTTACTGGAGGAAGACTCCCACATCAGTGTCATTGACCGCCCCATCTTAACAAGCTACTTCTTTCACATGAAACTTGGATCAAAGCAACAGTCGCTGATCTTTGATGTGATTCAGATGGCTCATTGGGACGACCAGGCCATCAGTAATTTTTGCGCCAAGCTCAATGATTTTCTGAATGTTCTTTTACCCTCGTTGAGCATACCACTGCCCAAAGGCAAACATATTCATCTCTGAGGAACTGATGAGGTATGTTCGTCTCAGTTCATTTTTGCTGTGCTGACATACACACAGATTACAGAGTATTGCTTTATTTGCATCAACTATGAATCAATGGTCGATTGGTGTCAGCATACAGACTATCTTCATTGCAGCCCTCTTTTCTTTGGTTCTCTGCGCTTTGACTGTGTCTTTATTTAGCTAACAGAAAACAAAGTCATTCTTGGCCAGCTTATCTTTTGTTTTGAATATCTGTGTGGGAATTGCAAGTTTCCTCTGGCTCTTATTCACCCCTTCAATGTTCACACTGGTTTGCGCACTCGAAAGGACAAAGATCTTAATCTTTTCAGAGTTCAGGCAAGGCCACGAGCACAGGCACAGTTTTTTCTGTTAGATCATTCATACATGAGGCCCTTCTGGTACCAGATGGACCTCTTGATTACCTCGTAGTTGATACTGCAGATACTGGTATGTTTCTTTGCATGAAGATGATGCATCTGGAGGCAGGGCATATCATGTGCGTTTGATCCACTGGCTGTATTAGTAAGTCTAGGATGTCCGAATACATGTGGTACAACCATTTGCCTTAATGATAATCATTTGCCTCATTGACCTTCATCATGGACACCTTAAGTTCTTCGTTTGAACCTCATCTGACTAATCCTTTCACCCCTACCAGAGATCTCTTGATTTACAGTACATGTTATTGACTACCATCAATATGTCACAGGACACTGATGATAGTGCAGCTTCCCCACCTCAGCACCCTGTGTACACCAGCCTTCACAATTGATGACTCTCACTCAGTGTCCATGCTGTGCTGTGGATATAGTCTCAGACATAGTCCCAGGACCTGCACCTTTCCAAGTGAATACAGACACACATATTATAATTCACCATGAGCAGGGCAGAGACAGAATTACAGTGGGTGTGGAAGACAGTATTGTATCATTGGAGCTAAAAGATGATTTTGCAATGAGTGCACATCCTGGTGCACCAGGAACCATGGATGAAGGATTATGGTGCGAGGTTTCTGTGTAGTTGATGTCCCTTTGGCTGATCAAAGAGTTCGCACTGCCCCAGATGCAATGCCCCCACACCATACCCATTCTCCCTCCTGCAGCCCTGTCCTGCTGATTTGGATGCCCTGCACGCAAAAAGTGCTGCTGCAAATCACAGTGAGCACCCTACCCTGCCATCATGTGCAGCATGTGCACCTCAAGCCATCACCACCACCACTACTACATGGTCCAGGTATGTGCTCTCGCATTCATTTTATACTAATAGCCTACTTAATTTTGCATCCAATACTCATACAGCCAAGACAAAGGTTTCAACTGATACCTTGGACCCCGTGTTCTTGACTTCCTCGTATGCTCATTCATTGACATCAAGCTCCACCCTTTCATTTAGCACAACAGATAATTCATCTGCATCGTCCACATTATTCAATAGCACCAAGTGTTCCGGCTTTGCTCCGGATGATCCCAAGCAAGTACAATATCATCATTCACCTCTAGACACACACATTCCAGAAACTCCTGAAGGCCTTGAGCCATGCCTCATTTTCCTCACCTCTTGCTCTTGAACACCTTTAAGACTTCATATATTATGCCTACACCTTCTATACTGGCCTTCAAAAATGGACGAAGCTGATCTCAGACCATAAATGGTAAGTAGTTTTCCAGTTTTCATCATGATATTATTGATGGAATATGTACAGACTCGCTGAGATGATGCATAATCTGACAGAGATCTCCCTTGCACCAAGCACTCCAACTTTACTCCAGATGATCCAAAGCAAGTACAATATCATTATTCACCTTTGGACACACGCATTCCAGAAACTCCTGGAGGCCTTGAGCCATGCCTCATTTTCCTCAACTCTCGCTCTTGAACACCTTCTACACTGGCCTTCTTGAGGAGCTAACTCTGCATTTGTTCCGATCCAGCTGGCTCAAGGCTCTTGGTGATCTTGCGTGCTATTGCATGGCTGTGGGATCTGTAGATCTGCTGCTTCAGGTGAGCCCACCCAAACAACAGTCTCACCTACCCTATTCTGAGCATGATGGCAGGCTATCCTATTCTCGTACTAGATACCCATCAACTTGGAGCTAAGCGCTAAACTAAAGGCCTACAAAATGTAAGATACCAGCATATAATTCAGACATCACATGCTGATTATTACTTCATAGTGCTGCTTTCATACATTGTAAGGTCAGGTTCAGGGTATTATTGGCCTTACTAATACATAATAGTTGCACATTTTCTTCTTGGTGCTGATACATTGCTGCAACTTCAGCTGCAGCATGCACGAGGTATTTTGCCTTATATACTGCGCTATCATGCTGACTGTTTTCTTGTCTCCTGGCATTCATTTAGTATCATGTCTCATTTCTCTCGGAACACGTCTGACTCAGATGATGAATGGGATGCAGAGCCCATCATTGAATCTGTCACAATTCCAGGGCCAAATGCCTCGAAAGGAGACCTCATGGAGGTAAGTTTCGGATGTTAGACTACTCAATTCATATTACCCATCTGACTCTTCTCTTACTCTAGGCACTTAAAACACTGCAGGTCCAGGTTCAGAAACTCGTTGAGGAAAATCACACTCTTTGCAAGGAGAACAAAGTTCTCATTGCTGAGAAGCTGAAACACAAATGTCGCGCAGAAGCACTCAATGAACTCCTAGCTTACAAGCAAACAATAACACTTTACACTCATAAATATGGCATGACTATTGAGATGTTTCCCAATGCCAAACTTCTCAGCAAGCAATGTCCTCTGAATCCAACTCCATTCAACAGCTGAGACCAGTACTTGACAGCGATAACCCAGGAATCAGCTTCTTTGGATGAGCTTTTTCAGCACTTCCCTAGTCACTTACACAATGTCATGGAAAGTTCATATTTCAGCAATCTCATATGTATTACATGTTTTGGTACTGATTGTTGAACTGACATTCATGACCAGGTAATGAAGTCCATCTCCGAGGCTCGCTCATTGGAGATCAATAAACTACATAGTGTTGCAGGTGATATCTTTGGCCTTCCAGGAGTATACTTTAGCAATATCCACTACTGCAGAGCTGACATCACAGAAATACAGAACATGCTTGGAGTGTCGGCGACGAATCCGAAGTACAAAACTTTTCCACCAGTTCTGTTTCTTGGAATGCAAGAAGACACATCCTTGAAGACTGTGTTCAGGAGCTTTTGGCTAAGGTATGTTTTTTTTCAGTCAATGAGTATGCTATTGTGATATTGATGTATCTCTAACAGATTCAGAAGGCCGCGCTACATGGTGTTACTTCACTTCACCAAGAGACAACTGGTGGACCAAAGATGAATGCCTGAAAGTGGAACTTTGAGCATGTCACACCAGGATCTATTGCATGGGCTGCTGTCATTGTGAGTCATCATCATCTATGATATTATGTTGAATGGTCCCTGTCATATCCCGTATTCCGGACCTACATCCGACAATATTCCCACGCCTCATCTGGACCTTCGGACGCCCTATCCATGTCTCCAGTCCTCTACCCATCCGGATCCCTGCACCTCTGCACATCCACATCCGCGCTGAAGGTGAGGAATCTTGACTGTGGGTGAAAACACTAAAAGAAAGGGGGCTCTACAGCAAGACCTGGATACGAGAATACAACTCGACCCAAAGGACAGCTACTGAGAGAAGTTCCTCGTGAATAAGGTGGAGGGAAACTCTGTCAACTTAGACGGACGCTGGTAGACGCGGGAAAGTAACGCGCGCGAAGGCGCGCGAGATGCGCGCGTGAGCGAGAGATGCGGAGGGTACGCGCGTAAGCGGGCGCGCGCTTGAACGATGAAGGAGAGGAGTCCTTAAGAGAGTAGCAAGGGCACAGGTGTCAAACAGTGGAGGAATATAATCAGATTTCTAGTATTGGAGGGAGAACTATACACTTTGCAGTATATCAAGATAAGGGGAAAAGTAAGTACCAGAACCGAAGGAATCCTCCCTTTATTTAAGAAGGGAGATTACGCTATGCGGCGCGCTTCCGAGCGCGCTCCCGAACCGAGTAACCATATCAACTTCTAAATATATTCTAAGTTTAAATAGACTCTCTGTATGTAAGCGCGGAGGTCGGACCGAAGGTTCGTTAATTCAATGAGAGAGATAAAAATAACGCACCAGTAAATCAGCAAGGACAAAGGACAGAGGGACGAACGGTAGGAGCGCGAAGGCCTATGGAGCGCGCACGCGAAGGGCGCGCGTGAGTGTGCGATGTGCGAGAGCGCGAATGACTGGTCCTTAGGATGTGAGCTGATACAGGTAGGGAATTAAATGGGTAAGAAGGCCGCATATCCGGCATTGAGAGGCGCGAGTCTCTACAGCGCATCCATGTCCAGATCCCTTTACCTCCGTACATCGGACCTCCATACCTCCGCAGCTAGCCTGCATCATTCATCCTTTGTCCTATTGCCCTAATATCATATCCCGTATATCCACGCTTCTTGTCCGGACATCTGGTCCGGTCCGATCTGATCTGATCCGATATACGATAAGCTTCCTAATTCATTTCCTGTGCATATAACGTTAACACAGCCTATTCCTCTATTTGGTATTCCTTGTCCTCGGTTTCTCGGTTATACTTACTACCGGTACGTTTACTGATCCGTTAACCTATGCTTCATTTCCGACTCGCGCTTGATAACTTTGCTTATGCTTCATACATAGCCTCGGACGCTTGCTTACTGATCTTTCTGTTATTTCCTTAGTATATAAACTCTTGTATATGTCCTGTAGTTCCTCAGTCTGAATATCATATTAGTCCTCGCACTAGATCTCACTCTAAGTCCTCACATCAGTTCTAGTCTATCGACTTAGTCAATATCCATCTCGGGCCTAGGGAGAAATTCCCTAGGCCAGAGCTCCGCTTATCCGCTCATCCGATCCTCCGAAGTTTCCGGACATTCGTCCGAAACTTTCCCGCGGTCCTCCGGACCTATTCTGCTTCGGACTTTGTCCTTGCAGCCTTTCCTCTGTTTGCTTCTACTTAGGACTTGTCCTAAGTAGCCATTACACGTATCTGTATCAGGACAAAACCTCATCGTAATTTCCGGAAGTTCCTCCGGAACTTTCCTGCACTCGTCCGGAAGTTACTTGCACTCGTCCGGAAAGTCCTTCCGAACTTTCCCGCGCTTCGGAGGTCCTTCGGACGTCCTTGGACTTTCTTCAGACATCATTCTGAAATTAAGGGCACATACTCGGGTAAGGGGCGCAGCGCACGAGCTGAAGCCAAGCCCCTCGGAATCAGTCCTACCCTTTGTGCACGGTCTTAACAGTCCCACTTAGTCAATACTATCACAGGCAATCTTTCTGCTATCACCCAATACAGAATTTCAGAAGTCTGGCTTAGGAAAGTCCTCTGGTATCAACTACAAGGACCTATTCTTTCACTATAAGAAGCTCTTGCTCACGAAGTGGGATAGCCACCACATCCAGACCATCGTGCAAAACATTGACCAAGAAATTTTCAGCTCCGCAAAATCTTCCACTTCTGTAGCTGGCTAGGAAGATCACTCCAGCGAAGTCATTCATGCCATGAATACACTTGATATGAATAGTGATAGTGAGTCAGATATATCTACCCTATCTTCAGTGGTGCAGGGTGCTGCTGCCTTTCAGTCTGACATCATCGAGGCACAGCCCCCAGTATGCCTCACACCCGCTCTCAGCACTGTTTCCCTCTTAGTACTACCTCAACTCTCAGTGCCACTTTCAAAGTTCCTATTCAGGATGTCACAGTGGGTCCAGTGGCTACTACTACAGTTGTAGGGCAGGATGCAGATGTGGGACAGAAACCGGTTCAAGGTAGTGGAAAGACTAATAGGGCAAAGAAGCCTGCAGCTCAAGGGGTTCAACATAGTACTCGTGCTTGTTAGGATACTATTAGTAGATTTCATTTTGTAATGATACTCTTAAATTTCATGTCACCTCAGTTTGAATTCGTGCACATGAAGTCTAAGTGTTATGACATTTGATTAGACTTGACTTCTCTATAGGTAGCCAAAAGTATGTGTCATATAGAATTAGGGTTCCATACATATAAAGACCCTTTAGTCTAATGGTTTTGTCGCAGTGAGTCCTAAGTATACCATAAGCTTTAACTAACAACTATATAGACGAGTGTTCGAATCCCACCAAGTACAAGACTAATAGACAAGTAAGTAATATGAACCTAATATTACAATATAATGAACTAACAAACATAAATAACAGGACCGAAATATAAGAATATCAATAAACAGTGAGTAATATCAGTACAAATACAATACAATACAACTAACTAATAAGCATAGGGCAATAGAAACCAAATAAAAGATAAGATAGCAGCATAGCTAAGATAATAGAACGGGCTTGTAAGATAAGGTCAGTATTCCAAGAAATCAATTTTATTGCAATATAAATGGTCCATTACAATGACTAATATTGATTTCAGCAGATTTCAATTACCATTACAATAGGCATTGCAACCATCGTTGTAATGACCATTACAACACAGACTCTATTATTGGAAGCCGTTTCAAGCAGCAGTTTGTATTTAAATATTTCAATGCTTTGTAATGCATTGAAAGCTAGATTAGGAATTTCTGACACAGCGTGGACTAGTGTTGCCATGGCTCCAGCTTATTACTGGTTTTAGCCGTGGCTGAAACTATGAATAGCTGAGCTGACACGTGATTCTAGCTTATATAATTTACAGTTTGGCTCGGCTCAAGTATGTACGGTTAAGTCGACTTAAGGGCTTACAACCAGCTCAAACATATTTGTAAACTATTAAGTCAAAAAAAATAGAATTTCAATTGAAATTTTAGAATAATCGAAAATCAAAGACTTGATGGCTGAAAAGGAAAAGCTGTAGCGGCACTTGTCAATCATACGAACTCACATCACACTCTAAATCTACGATAAACATGTAATATATAACACAAATGGGCCCCCAAGACAATGTACATGGTTCCGTTAACAATAGATCAAAAGCTAAGTAGAGATTGGAAATATGGTAGCGCTGCCCATGCATGAATGTTGCAAGAGCGAGCGATGTTACAGAGGGCCGAGTGATACCATTCATCAAGGCAAAGAGCCGGAGATGAAGGAGTCACCGAAAGGCAGAGAGGAGGGCAGGAAGAGGAGCAAGTTATTGAGAGGTCGCAGAGATGGCAGAGAGAAGGGGAGGAAGGGGAGCGAGTCATTGAGAGGTCATGGAGATCAAAGTGGCAAGGTTGGTTGCTGAAGGTGTTAGGTGGTTGTGGTGGGCAGGAATGATCTGTCAAGATTGAAGAAGTGGGAGCCTGGAGGTTAGATCGTGAAGAGTTCATGTTAGACATGTTTTTTTACTTGAGTGAAAATGTACTTTTACCTGTCATAATCACCGTTGGAAAGCACAAGTGCAATCAGGACATCCTAACATAGCGAATCATGTCAACAAGGAGGGGAGCAGGACATGTGCATGGAAGTGAGACGATTTAGAGCATTGGGGTCATGGGGTGAGAGGGCGGGTGAGAGGGTCATGTGCATTAGAAGGGACTGGATTGTGCAGGGTGGAGAGCATTAGGGAAAGAGAGAGGTGCAAGAGTTGATGTACGATGCGCGTGCAGTTACTGTGGATGAAGTGATATCAGGAGATATGTGCGTCGAACCATCAGAAAAGACAAACTTGCATGGCTTGATCCTAATATAGGGTCATTGGGTGAGAGGGTTGGTGAGAGGGTCACATGTGTTAGAGGGGACTGTATCGTGGAGGGCGCTAGGGAAAGAGAGGTGCAAGAGTT